TACATGCGTCACAGGCACAGACGAGGACGTCAAAGTAGCCAGGATCGGAAAGACAGCAAGACAGGCCTTCACTAATCTGAAATCAGTGCAGAGATCCACTGCACTCTGCAGTGGAGATGGATTGGGCATACATTGAGAAGGCCGACTGAGAATATCACACGCTAGGCCAAGCTGTCGAGTGGAATCCAAATGGGACACGATGAGTTGGGCGTCGGAGGCGAGGATTGCATGGAGAAGATGATGTGAGGAAGAAATGAAAGCGTGTGGGTAGTGGTGGAGCGAGGTTCAAAAGACTACAGAGAAGAGAATGGAATAAGTCTTTGTAAGTATTCTCTCCTTCATCATGAAAAATGTCCTCTACTCTTTGTGAAAGTTTCTCGATCACTTTGATGGCTATGTGAAACACGAAACATTCATGTTTAGCTGAATAATATATAGATGTTAAGAAAAATAAAAACTTCAATATTACAGTGATTTCGTGAAAAAAGTGAATCCAGCTTGTATACAACACTTCTAAAGTAGGAGATTTTAAATGTAAGCGAAAAATATCATTCCTAAATTTGAACGATGGCAAAAAAAACTACTTAAAGCTGAAAACACTGTGAAAAGGAGAACAGAGTCTAAGAATATATAAATTTTTTTTACGATTGAATGGAAAAAACTTGTGAAAATAACATTTTTATGCGTAACATGCCTGAAGTAATTAATTTCAAACGTTTTTACTCCACTTTATTGTTTACTGAAGCTGTTATATATCTCAAGATGAATTACTTATTCCATTATTGTTCTCCTTCTTTTTTGCATAACTTATTTTGGTGAAACTAATTTTATCAAGTAGGTTGATAACAAAATAGTTTCTATTCCAGTTAATTCTCACGTAGACTGCTCTGAAATAAATGGATTCTTGTTTTTAATTGATCAATGGTTTCTCTTAAATAGTCTCAAACTAAACCCTTAACTAAATGTCAAACTGTTAATTTCAGCCGTGTGTGAGCTGATTAAATCTCATGACGCCTTCTGCATCGATGGTATTTCTGCAGAAAGTAAATGGAATGTGAACTATCTTGAGTTGAGTTTCACTTCTGATCTTTGTTGGTCATCCCATATTTTATTGACTTGTAAAAAAAACTCTTTCGTTTAACTTATTACATTAAGAAACTGAGACTTTCTAGTATAACTCAACTGCTTCTTTTACAATTTATTAATTCCTGCATTTTACCTATTCTTCTTTATTGTTCCTCATTAATCTTTCCTCGTCTTCTAAATAAAGACTATGTTATGTTGAGTAAAGCTTTGAAGGCCGTCAGTAGGGTGAGTGGTGTGTCTCTGACTCAACTGATTAACACTGTAGTTGATCGACATATAAATTCTTGCAAGCAACTAGCTACAGAAATGTTAACTGACAGTGAGCATCCACTTCACTCACAGCTCTCTTCATATATCTCCTCGTGGAGGACAAGAAGAAACTACATAAGACTGTATGCTCAAACGGTTAAGTATAAGAATTCGACTGTACCTTACCTTGCATGCATATTTTGTGAGGAGAAACGTGTTAGAACAGAAATCACACATCAACTTTGTAACAGTTTAAAATCTTCTTACAATTATTCCTTTTTAATATTCTTCACATTACTTAAATTTTTGTTATAAAACAAATCGAAATGTTGTAAAGGATTATGTGTCTACATATATTTTGTTGTTGTTGCGATATATCATGCTGAGAATTCCAAATTGTACCACAAATTTATTTTTGAGATGAATAGGGATTTTTAATTTAGAAGTAGTATTCATCATGAACTGATATCAGTTGGGAAACCATTGGAAATCTGGGAGCACTGGACACCTGTTTCGTCCAACTAGTATGGGACTCCTCAGTAGTACGCACACACGACCCGCCTAGAGATCGAATTCAGGACCTTCGGATTTAACGGCGAACACGCTAACCAATCAGCCACTGGGTCGGTTTCAGTGGTTCACAGTTTCCAACTTCTGTCAATTCGCGACATAGCGCGACTATCACCGAAGGTCTTCAGTTAACATCCACTTCACTTCCGACTGGTTGACCCCATAGGTCACGGCTTCTCATTAGAACTTCCTGACATCCATCTGGAAGTATGTCACTAATGAGCATTATACAGTAATGTATTTTTGAGATGAATGGGGATTTTTTTTTAATTTAGAAGTTGTATTCATCATGGACTGACATCAGTTGGGGAACCATTGAAAATCTGGGGGCACTGGACAGCTGTTTCGTCTAACTAGTATGGGACTCCTGAGCAGTACGCACGCAAGACCCGGCCACAAATTGTTTGGAATAAAGTCTATTATTATTATTATTATTATTATTATTATTATATTTTTTGCCCTCCGTGTTGTACAAAGCTCGTTTTTAAGAGAAATCAACAAGGATAACTTATGTTTTGATGATAAAATGTTAAAATTTCCTATGGATTTCTAAAGAATGCCATCTACTGGTCATTGTTTTTATATGCCTTGTTACAATGGTGAAAATTAATCACAACACAAGGTGTCTTGATATGGTCTCCATGGTTATTTCGTTGGTTGAATTTAACATTGTACTATGAGATAATTTATCTATTCAAAGTAGCATTCTTACTCACTTTATGATTACTCTTCTTACATATCATAACAGATAAGTACCTTAAGTTCATACTGGAAAAAAAAAGCACACTAACATTTTCAACTACTCACTATCCATTATGCCACAGACGAACAATAGCCACTTCTTGTACAATGGGTAGTAGTTGTTACTATTTATTGAAATACTTATTATTCTCCTTTGTTTGTTGTGTTGGGTCGAATTGTTTAATCTCTGTTGGTATATGGGTTCCTATGCGGATGCCTCGATACTGTCAATAGAGGTCGAACAATTCGACCCAACAAAACAAAGGAGAATAACAAGCGTGTCGATAAATAGTAATAGCTACTAGCCGTTGTACAAGAGGTTATTATCATTCCTCCGTTGTATAGTGGATAACGCATTGGCGTTTGCAGCGATGGGTACGAGGTTCAAGTCTCAGTGAGAAACAACATCACTGGGGTACAGGTACATCCAGCTGACGAGTCCTAAATAGGACGAAACGCGCATCCTGGATTCTACTGTTAGCCACAACCAACCAAATTATCATAATACCCGAAAATAACGTTTGGGCAAACTCGCCCGGTAACCATTCTGAATATTAAATTAAGAGTTGATTAGGTTAGGAAAAAGAGAAGAATGTGTAGAATGAATCCAGTAACTATCTTGTACTCAATAATGTATCAGACTGATGTAAAACCAATCATTATTATTATTATTATTAGTCCCTTGGGTTCCTAGTGGAACATAGGGCTTCAGCAGCACTCCTCCAGTGACCTCTGTTCTCTGAGATCTTTTGAACCTGGTCCCACGACAGCCCAGAAGCTCTCATTTCCTGCTCGCACGACCTCCTCCATGTCACCCTCGGACGTCCAACTCGTCGCTTCCCATGGGGATTCCACTCGAGGGCCTGACGCGTGATGTCCTCCGTCGGCCTTCTCAGTGCATGGCCAATCCATCTCCACTTCTTCCTGCATATTTGTTGCGTGATAGGTTCTTGCACTGTTGGTTCGTTCCCAGAGTTCCTTGTTGCTTATTCTTTCTGGCAATCCATCTGATCTTCAGTAGTGAGCCAGTGTAGGCAGTTGTTGATGAATGTCTGTAGTTTATTGGAAATACCTTTCGTGACGCGCCAAGTCTCTGAGCCATACAAGAGCACTGACTTTACGTTGGTGTTGAAAATCCGTATCTTGTTCCGCATGCTGAGTGCAGAAGATCTCCACACTGGTTTCAGGCTGATGAACGCCTGTCTTGCTTTTCCGATTCTGACTTTGACGTCCTCGTCCGTCCCGCCTGTAGTTGAAACAGTGCTTCCTAGATAAGTGAAGGAGGTTACTTCCTTTAAGTAAAACCAATCGCTTTAAACTTATTTTCTTCATACAGTCATGACTTATATAGTACTTAGGCTACATCCAGGATTTTATGTACAAAACTGTTGTCATATAAATCGTTATATCCTGAAACAGCATGATATAACACTACCTTCAAATTCGTTTTTTGGTCAATTATATGTATGTACTGACGTCCAGTCTTCTGAATGTAAGCAATTACTTCCTTCGAACTGAAAAAGTTATAGGCCGTTAGGGAGAATTTACATACCTAATATTTCATATTATTACTATATCATAATTTTACTAGTACCTTGTGTTCCTAGTGAAACATAGGGCTTCAGTAGCACACCTCCATTGCACTCTGTTCTCTGAAATCTTTCGAACCTGGCTCCACGACAGCCCAGAAGCTCTCATTTCCTCCTCGTATGATCTCCTCCATATCACCCTCAGACATCCAACTCGTCGCTTCCCATGGGGATTCCACTCGACGGCCTGACGCGTGATATCCCCAGTCGGCCTTCTCAGTGTATGCCCAATCCATCTCTATCTCCACTCTCTTCCACTGCATATTTGTTGAGTGATAGGTTCTTGCTTCATTGGTTCGTTACCAGCCAGTCAGCCAGCCGGAGTTCCTTGTCGCTTACTCTTATTATTCTGGCCATTTGAGCTTCAGTACCGAGTGAGCGTAGGCAGTTGTTGATGATGTGTGTCTGTAGTTTGTTGGAAATCCCTTTCGTAATGTGCCAAGTCTCTGAGCCATACAGAAGCACTGACTTGACTAAGTTGATATTGAAAATCTGAATCTTGTTCCTTCTTTATGCTAAGTGTAGAAGATCTCCACACTAATTTCAGATTGATGAACGCCTGTCTTGCTTTCTCAATTCTGACTTTGGCATCCTCGTCTGTCCCGCCTGTAGTTGAAACAGTGCTTCCTAGATAGGTGAAAGAGGCTACTTCCTTTAAGTTTCTCCCATTGATGATGATTGAAGTTTGTTGTTATTCGATGTGTTGTTGATAACTTACTCATATTTACCCAGCTTACCTATCATGAATTTTTTTAACCTTTTTAGCTTTACTATCATGATGAATTAGTGAATGTATCAGTTGTACTGGATAATATGTCTCAGTTACCTGTGAGAAAATTACAAATAGCAAGTATGTTAAAGCATACTCTCAAGTTTATCAAGCATTGTTTATCTCATTAACCATTAAATGCATATATAATAAAAAATTTTATGAATTAATATATATATTATTCAGTGCAAATTATCCTATGTATAGAGTTAATTTTTTAGCTCAATGTATACTTAGATGAACAAATGGAAACTTTTATCATAGATGAATGCAATGATAATTATATTTTCTGTATTGTGATAGATGAACAAATACTGTCTCTTATCTCATAAATACTGATACTATATAAGTGAATGACATGTTTACACGAATTCTAACTAGTCGAAGATTAATACGTGAATATATAGCTTAATTTTTAGTCACCATGTAACAATATATCAACTTTTTGGTTGAACAGAAATCAAATATAATTCAATTATGAAAGGGTTTTAATACACCACATGTAAACGAAGTGAAGATGATTGCTATGAAATCAACTTTAAGCAGAAGTTGTTGAGAAGAGAACCCTAACACAACTTTCTTACCATTTATGACCATACATTCTTTATTCTGTATGTTGAAATCAACTAACAGGCAAACAATGGCAAATATTTCTTCGATTTGTCGATAATAATAAAGAGAAGCTGATGTCGAACGTATTCAGTTATTGTCAACATTGCTCGCATCAAATAAAATAGAGGAATACGAACAAGTATATTTCAATGAAGAGTCTATTTTCAGCGATTTCATTCCCACAACCGTCAAATAGCAAACTTATACATTTTTCTAGTGTAACGATTTAATAGTTAAAAACAGATTGTCAAGTATGTCAAGCGACACAAATAGTGTCAACAGATGAGCTGTCATTACAATCAACAACTCAAAAAGTGATGAGTTGTGAATATTCATGAAAATAAGTTTGAACAAGAAGTTTTGTGACATGACAACACAACTGGGAACTGAAGTGTGATTTGGCAGAGCATATCAACGAGAATGAATAACAAATTACTTCAGAAGTGAATAGTGTCCAAATAGGAAACTGAGAAGAGAAGAGAAGAGAAGAGAAGAGAAGAGGGGTGTGGAGGAGACTGAAAGCTGAGACCATGAAAGGAGAAAGGGGTGAACATTCTTCTTTTGTGTACACAGTTCAGGTTTCTCCATATGATTGGAAAGAGCTTCGGCAACGCAGAGAATACAAAGACTCACACCCTTTGGAAGGTTTACTTTTATTTTATTGATGACTTCCAACGTGGAGGTTCTTGAGGTAGCGTGATTCGTGTTCACGATATATTCAGTAATAGCACTCCTTATCGCTCCATGTTTACCTCTCTGTAACCATGCAGAATAGGACTCTTGAACCCTTCTGGATAACAGTCGCATTGAACGACATTTATACCCAGCTCCACTGGAGCAGATCAGTCGATATATGCACACAGAAGTGATCAGATGTTAAAGTTTCATCTTTGAGTTGTTAGATGTGGTTGGGTGACAAGTGAATACTAGTCTCAGCGTTGATACAGACAATGTTGCACATTAGAGCGTTTGATATCCTCTGTTTTGTAGTGTCAGTGGCAGAATCACTGTTCAAGTTGAGATTCATATTCAGTGTCTTGTTTTGGTACGGTGGTAAGCTTCTCTTTGCGAGGTTTACGCTTGATGTTTCTGTGTATGAGGGGTGATGGGAATCTGCTTTCAATCAGGATGTTCTTTAGAACAGAGATTTCCTCTTCTAACACATTGGGACTGCAGATTCGTGTAATGTGAGTGACAAGAGATATGATGAGATTTCGCTTACGACTGATAGAGACGTAGGTGGTAAATTTCGTCAGTTGACCATCCCACATTGGTTTTCTCTGAATTGATCTACTTAAAGTTCCATCAGCTGTTCATCTCAGCTCTACATCAAGAAAGTGAATTCTTGATCGATTTTCTACCTTGAGGATGAGTCTGATTGGTGAATGGTAGTTATTGAATATTTGTAGAAGGTGGTTGGAATCATATTGATGATCACAGATAATGAAAGTATTGTCTATATACCCTTTGTACAGTTGAAAATCTTCAATCATTGATTTCGAGGGTAATTTCTCGAGATTGGATATGAAGCAGTGTGCTGGTAGTGGAGCTAATGGGGATCGCACCTCAGTTTCATTTTTCTGTTGATAGATCATGTCGTTAAACGTGAACTGAACATTGAATGTGCATGTAAGTAACAAGTGCATAATGTTGGGGGTCGGTATCCAAACATTTATGTTGTTATCTGCATAAGACTGAGATAGTTTCGTAAGTGGAACATTGTTGTTGCCATTGCTCTGCCCAATCACACTTCAGTTCCCAGTGGTGTTGTCATGTCACAAAACTTCTTCTTCAAACTTATTTTCATGAATATTCACAACTCATCACTTTTTGAGTTGTTGGTTGTAATAACGGCTCATCTAATGACACTGTGTTGCTTGACATACTTGACAATCTGTTTTTAACTATTAAATCGTTACACTAGAAAAATGTATAAGTTTGCGATTTGACGGTTGTGTCTACGAATAACTCTTTCTCAGTTATCCTTTTGACTGAGAATTTTGGGAACGAATTGATGGAATACAATGTCGACAAAAATTAGGTGGCATCATCATCGTAACCCAATGTACTTTTTTTCCGTATGCAACCGTACTTTTTACTTGTTATGCTAATTGTATGTAACCACTTATACATGCATATATGTATGAACGTAGAGAAGATAGAGGTGATGATGAAACCCAACCAACGCTACCGCAAACAAGAATAACGAGCTTCAATCACCATGAATGGGAGAAACCTAAAGGAAGTAATCTCTTTCACCTATCTAGACAGCACTGTTTCAACTGCAGGCGGCACAGACGAGGACGTCAAAACCAGCCAGAATCCGAAAAGCAAGGCAGGCTTTCATTAGCCTGAGACCAGTGTGAAGATCTTCTGCACTCAGCATAAAGAACAAGATCTGGATTTTCGACATCAATATCAGTTAAGTCGGTGATGCTATATGGTTCAGAGACTTGGCGCGTTACGGAAAGCATTTCCAATAAACTGCAGATATTCATCAACAACTGCTGCCTACACTGGCTCGTCACTGAAGCTCAGATGGCCAGAAATAATAAGAATAAGCAAGAAGGAACTCTGGCTGGCTGCCTGGCAACGAACCACCGAAGCAAGAACCTACCGCTGAATAAATATGCAGAAGGAAGTGGAGATGGGTTGGATTGGATTGGGTATGCGCTGAGAAAACCGATTGGGGACATCACGCACTAGACCAGGCCATCGAGCGAAACCCAGGTGGGAAATGACGAGTTGGGTGCTGGAGGCAAGGGTGACATGGAGAAGATGGTATGTGAGGAAGAAATGAGAAAATATAGGCTGTCTTGGAACCAGGTTGAAAATATTGCAGAGAAAAGAGAGTGGAGTGGAGACGTGCTACTGAATCTCTATGTTCCACTAGGAACCCAAGCGACAAATAATATGATGATAATAATAAATGGATTATGAGGTCTATACTTTAGTTAACTTTTTTATGTTTACCCTTCTATACTGCAAATTCCTTACTTATTTTAAAAACGTAAACTTTTATCTTGTTCAGTTGTACAGGTGGCTGAAATGTACCTGCTGACCAAGGGAACTTATCGATCGACAGTGGATGATCATTACTGCAAGTAAGTTTTTTATTTCATTAAAATTAAAATTGAATGGATGACGCTGAGTTTTTAAGTTATCAGACAGATTACTACCATCGATGTTATTGAAGGTTTACTTTATAGCCATCAAATACTGAATTCACAATCTAATTTTGGAATCGTATCGCCAGGTATAACGTTTCACTGCAGTTTCATCTTGAATGGGTTTGGATTTACTGCTAGTGACAGAATACAACTCAGAAAAATGTATAATCCAAACAGTCGGCTTATAGTACCGGTAATTAGGACTGAAGAGCTCACACAATTTTAAGCCTGAAACGCTCAGATCATGACAATTTAAGTCAGCGTCGTAGATGGAGCGGAAATATTAAGTATCACTGAAGTTTTATTATTGTTAGTTATGTAATACAAGCAACAATGATAAAATTATAGCCGTCTCACAAGAAGTGGCTACCATGACTCGGTGGTCTACTGGATAACGCACTCACGTTTGAAGCGATCGCTCCCGAGTTTGAATCCCAGTGGGAACAATATCACTCACTGCTAACCGGCAGTTACATCCAGCTGAAGAGTTTTAAATTCCACTACTGGCCACTTACCATCCTTACTACCACCGAAGTTATTTGATGTATTCACATGGTTTGATCACAGACGCATGTTGACCACTGACCAAAATTGGAGCATTTCAAACAATTACATTCTTTAAGTTTATTCAAGGTGGGTATTATCACATTCTTCGTCAGCGTTTAAAATGACTTTATAGTGTGTAGGTCATAATAATCTGGTAATCAAATAGAACTGAGTAATTCGGTTATTTTACTAATGCATGTACCAGTCATTTGTACATATAACTCAAAAAGGTATACTCACTACATCAAAATGCATCTTTAGTATATACCTTATATAATCGTATTACTAATAACTGATTCTCGCCTGCATGAAAATACATCCATACTTTGAAAAAAGTTTACTCAACTGAAGATTACATTTTTGAGTAAAACAATCTCTCTCAGTTGCTTAGGTTGAAAGTTGTGTAACCATGCCAGTTGTAAAATGTAACAATTACGATCTTGCGATTTTCCCATCAGATAGATTTTCATTAAAAAAAAAAAATGCCGACCATTTGATTCCGATCCGCTGGCTTAATGGTAACGTGCTGACCACGAAACCCGAAGGCGCTGGGTTGGAGCCCCGACAGGGTCATGGGTATGCATTGCTGAAGAGTCCCATACTAGGACAAAACAGCTGTCTAGTGCCCTCAGGTTTCCAATTTTCTTTCAATTGATATCGGACCATGATGAATTCCAACTTAAGCATCAAACAAAGCAAAGTCATATGAAATATAAAGAAATATTCACTAGGAAGTTACCAAAAGAAATATACTAATGAGGATTAACAATCGTTCATCTAGGTTTGACAAATACAATTTAAAATAACTTGGATGCAACTTGCTTCATAAGATAATGCTTCACACTTCAATGGGAAATCTATAGAGTTTTATATATATATATATATATATATATATATATATATATATATGTAAGATCCATCATCATTGGACGACAATTCTTCTAATGTTTATTTCTTTGCCCCACAAAAATTATTTCTAGTGTTATAGATCTATATTAGTGGAAACGGTAACAATTGAAGAGTGCGAAACGTTCAAACTTAGATATACACCTAGATTACATTATTATTATTTTTCTCCCCTTGGGTTCCTAGTGGAATATAGAGCTTCAGTAGCTCGCCTCCATTCCACTCTCTTCTCTCTAGTCTTTTGAACCTCGCTCCACCACTGCCCATACGCTTTCATTTCTTCCTCACATCATCTCCTCCATGTCACCCTCAGTTAGGAAGCCCAACTCGTCGTTTCCCATTTGGATTCCACTCGACAGCTTGGCTTGGCGTGTGATATTCTCAGTCGACCTTCTTAATGTATGCTCAATCCATCTCCACTCTCTTCCACTGCATATTTGTTGGATGATAGGTTCTTGCTTCGTTGGTTCGTTCCCAGAGTTTCTTCTTGCTTATTTTTTCTAGCCATCTGATCTGATCTTAAGTATCGATTGAGCGTAGGCAGCTGTTGATGATGAGTGTCTGGGTTTCTGAACCATATAGCAGCACCGACGACTGATGTTGGTGTTAAAAATTCGGATCTTGTTCTTTATGCTGAGTGCAGTTATATGGATACTTATTGATTTCTGAAATGGTTGAATTGAGTTCTTGTTGATCAATGAAGCTATAAAAATATGCGCGGGTGTTAAAATAGACCTTTATCTGATCATTCAGATTGGTCAAATATGTCGGCTATTTGTAATACAAATATCGAAAAATACCAATTAAGTATGAAAAAAAATGGTGAATGGAACGATCTAAACTCGTAAACAATGTGTAAAGTGATAGTTTCCTACTGTCTTCATAACTTTCATACACTTTTGATATTAATGTAAAGTTGAATATCTTCCCTTCGGTACGATTTGAGCCTTCTCAATTCTTGTAGATTTCTCTATCGTTAACAATATGATGATGTCTGTAAACCGATTTCTCTCGTGTTAAGTTCATAATCTGAGAATAAAATATTTATTTATTTATATATAAGACAGAATAAGCTTTCGAGTAGACATAAATGATTATAATATATTGATGACCTGTGTTGTACTGTCTTAGATTACAGAGTGTGTTTTGAAATTTCTCTCAAGAATTACCGACACCCTCTTGTATATACCTACCTTATATAATGTAGATGTTTAAGGTATTTTCGTCTTGATCTAAAGGTGTGTTACACGTTGTATTGTCAGTGAGATCTTTTTGCGATAGAACCACAGTTACAAATTCAAAATTCATCAAAACAAAAGTACCTTGAAGGTACTTTGACTACATTTCCACACATTCAATTTTTGCCAATTTTTATAAAGTTCACGAAATTAGAATTTTGGAAAACATATTACATTCAATGTCGAATATATTTTATGCATACAATGAGCTTCATGATTGAAATTCAGGAGTTGTATTCAATAGGTACTGTAGGATTTGATTGTAAGAAAGATTAATGATGATGGTGGTTAGACATAACTAAATGTGATAGATAAACTGACTTCAACTGAGAAGAAATCGAAATTTGGGAAGACTGAACACCAGTTGTTTATTCATAGTATAGGACTTCTCAGTAGTGTCCAACCGTGACCTTGCCGGGACTTTCAGATTCTGCGACCAGCGTGTTATTATTGAACAACTGGTCTGAAATCCAGTGGTACAAGCTTCTCAAAATAAATAAATCCCCGCGAACCTTTAAATTAAATAAATCTAGTCCTCAACACTGACTTGCTTTGAGGTTTGATTCCTGAAGTTCTAATGAGAAGTCGCAACAGGTGAGGTCAAACAAGTCAAACCTGAGAACAGGTACTGAACGACAGCAGTGGATAAATGTCGTGCTATATAGTAAAGTCACATAAGCAGAAGATGTGGACCATTGGATTGTAATCTAATGGCTCAATGGTAACGTGGGGAACCTGAAAGTTGACTGGCAAGTTCATGAGTGCCTACTGCCGAGGAGTCTCATACTAAGATGAACCGGTTTTTCACCACTTCTAGGTTCCCAATGATTCTCCAACTGATGTCATTTTATGACATACACTAACTTGAAGTCAGTGAATCCCCACAAACCTTTAAAACTGAAGTATACTGGTACCGTTGATCCATCTTTCAGTGCAAAATGTGAAGGCAGTATCACCAAAGGTTACAAGAGTATATAATGTCAGTGGTTGGAAGATTGAAAGATTTAACCATAGCTGATTGTCAAGTCTTTCAACTAATGGGGATAAAATTAAATCCACAACTGTACAGTTCAAGATAAGCTGAGGTGCTTGATATAAATTTAGCAGTCAGACGTCGTAGGTCAGTTGATAGAGCACCGGGTCGGTAACCCAGTGGTCGCTGGTTCGAATCCGACCACTGTCCAGATTTTCATTTCACTTCCAATCATCGTCCAGTATCAATACTGCAAGTCTGTCAAATCACGGTTATCTCAGATAGTCAAATGATAATCAGTATGGTATTTCCCCCCTCTGATTCAGTTAGATTTTGATTGGGATGAAAAGTTCTGACTAGGCAGTAGCCAGTGTGAATACGATCAAGCGGTAGTAATGTGTCACGGATTCACATGGTAGTCGGGTGAAATCCTTGGTGACTGAAGTAAAATAAAATCCTGGTCAGCAGTTGGACTTCGCAGATCAGTCGATACAGCACCGGGCCAGTAACCCGGTAGTCGCTGGTTTGAATCCGGCCATTCGGTAGTGTTTTTGTAATTGATTTCGCCTATTTTTTAAAATATTTTCACAGAGAGAGTCTACCACAAGCTGGACAACAAAAATGGAGGTATACCACAACTATGAGCACCAGTTTAACAGATAAACTGCTAAAACGTGGTGTTGCATTAGACGGCTATATAAGACAAGAAAAGAATTGGTTAGCTTCATCGACAATACTGAAGTTATCTTCAAATCTACCAAGTTGTCTAGAAATAATGCAAAAAGTGAACAGAACAGTAGGAGAGTGAGTTGAAACAACTTTTAATTTTGCTTTGCTTTAAATATGCTTTACAATAATGAAAATTGAGTTTTTAGACCTACGAAGCAGATGTTTTATTCACAGATTTCTATTCCGACTACCAACTAGTTTTTTAACAAGTAAAGTAATATGTTTAACTGGTAATTTTTCTAAGCTAAACAACCTACAGAACAATGATGGATCGTGGCTAGCAGGGGAATCCAGGATGAGCATTTCGTCCCGTTTGGGACTCGTCAGCTGGATGTACCTGTCGGCTCCCAGTGAGTGATATTGTTCCCACCACGGTTCGGACTCGGGAGCGATCGATTCAAACGCCAGCACATTATCCACTACACCACCGATCCACGATAGCCACTTCTTGTGCGAAGGGTATAGATTTTAGTATAATTGATTTTATATGATACCGTCGTTGATTCGACCGAATTGATCGATCTCTATTGGCATATGGGCTCCTTTGCGGATGCCTCGATATTGCCAGCAATCTAATTACGTTAATGATGTATCGTGGCTAGCATTGGAATCCGGGATGAGCATTTCGTCCAATTTGGGACTCGTCAGCTGGATGTACCTGCTGGCTCGCAGTGAGTGATGTTGTTGCGCATCGGGATTTGGACCCGGGAGCGATCGATTCAAACGCCAGCACGTTATCTACTACACCACGACGGTATCATAAAAAACCTACAGAACAGGTTTTTGTGATTATTTTCCTTATAAGAAAAAGAAAAAGATTTGAAGCGTGAAAAGAATTATTTTCAGTTACTTTATCCTCCTTATATTCATGTTAGGCAGGCTTAAATCAATGTACATATATAGATAACATGAAATGAATAGAATTTTTGAGGGAAAAAGATTTTTACAACTTGAACTCTCATTTACATTGGAAAAAAAGAAGTATGAAACTTATGAAAATCAGTGAAGTGTAGATATTTCTAGGTGGATGAAAAGAATATTCTATATTTTTGACAGAGAATGTGAATTTTAAAAGAATGGATGAAAAGAAGACAAAAAAAGATGACGTGAACAAGTCGAAAACAAATTAACCTAGATAAGGTTGGAATAGTAATGATAGATAGTGGCTAGCAGTGAAATTCAGGATGCGCACTTCATCCTATTTGGAACTCGTCAGTTGGATGTACCTGCCCGCTCCCAGTGAGTGATGTTGTTCCCACTGGGATTTGGACTCGGGAGCGATCGCTTCAAACACTCAAGCGTGGCCCTTTACACCACCGAGCAACGACAGCCACTTTTTGTGCGACGGATATAGTCTTTTTTAATGTTACTGCTTGTATTATACCGTCGTTGGCTGGATCGAATTGATCTGTCTTTGTTGGCCTATGGGCTTCTGTGGGGATGCCTCGATATTGCCTGTGTTTCAATTATATATGGTAATAATGGGTGGTGGTTGGCTTTGGAATCCAGGATGCGCATTTCGTCATCATTACTATACATAATTAAAACACAGGCAATATCGAGGCATCCGCATAGAAGCCCATAAACAAACAGAGACAGATCAGTTGGATCCAGCAACGACGGTATAATACAAGCAGTAACACTAAAACCATACCCATCACACAAGAAGTGGCTGTCGTCGCTCGGTGGTGTAACGGGCAACGCTCGAGTGTTTGAAGCGATCTCTCCCGAGTCCGAATCCCAGTGGGAACAACATCATTCACTGGGAGCGGGCAGGTACATCCAGCTGATGAGTCCCAAATAGGACGAAATGCGCATCCTGAATTCCACTACTAGCCACTATCCATCATTACTATACATAATTAAAACACAGGCAATATCGAGGCATTTGTACAGAGCCCATATGCCAACAGAGACTGATCAATTCGATCCAGTCAACGACGGTGTAATACAAGCGATAACACTAAAGGTTGGAATAATTCATTTCTATCTTCTGAAGTTGAAATTTATGAAAGACTGACATTAGTTGAAGAACCATTGAAAATCAACTAGCACTGGAAAGCTTTAATGATGTTTTTGTGTTCACTTTGTTGATTGGTTTAATCGTGAAGTTTACACTATCACTCTAGATAACATCCTTAGTACAAACTTTGGAAAGAAATGACCTATAAGGTTTTGTCTATAATTTATTTAGTAGCTTGTTCTGATGGCCTTGTGTTTGATGATCTCTTTCAATGATACAGCTGTATACACCTCAACTGAACCGAAACTAGCTAAGAATATAATGACTCTTCTCCTTAACAATAACATACACGTCTGGGAACACACGCAATAATAAAGATGGATAGTGGGTAGCAGTGGAATCCAGGATACCCGCTTCATCCTATTTGGGACTCGTCAGTTGGATGTACCTGCCGGTTCCCAAATTTGATGGAATTGGTTGACTTATACCTTACAACACATTTTCAACGGTAGACTCCATAAACAAACATAAGGAAATATAAATGGGATCGGTTATATCAAGTCTAAATGCAGAACGAATAATGCAAAGATTAGAAACTGTTTTATTGTCGTTGATCAAATTGAAATTTTGGATCCGATATATATATAGATGACACATTTCTCATTATTGAAAGAAACGAATTAGAAAATTAAATTTTGAGGGGGTTGTGGAGATTTGGAAATATTTCAACTTGTTATTCATCGAAGACTGACATCATTTGGAGGAACAAAGGAAACCTGGGAGCACTGGACAGCTGTTTCGTCCGACTAGTATGGGACTCCTCAGCAGTGCGCACCCACGACCCCACCAGCAGGGATCGAACCCGCGACCTTCAGGTTCCGTGACCAGCGCGTTACCATTGAGTCACTGGGTCAGAATCCAACGCTCCATATTTCCAACTTCTGTTAGCTCACGATATAGCGCAAACCGCCACCCAATGTCATCGTTGAGTATTTGTCCTCACGGCTATATCGTGAGCTAACAGAAGTTGGAAATATGGAGCGTTGGATTCTGACCCAGTGGCTCAATGGTAAGGCGCTGGTCGCGCAACCTGAAGGTCGCGGGTTCGATCCCTGCTGGTGGGGTCGTGGGTGCGCACTGCTGAGGAGTCCCATACTAGTCGGACGAAACAGCTGTCCAGTGCTCCCAGGTTTCCTTTGTTCCTCCAACTGATGTCAGTCTTCGATGAATAACAACTTGGAATTAGAAAATGCTTACAAATTAATCAACAACATTTTCGATGAAATCATATTCACAAGTGAAGAGAAATCAAATAACAAATCCGTATTTTTAGATATACTGATCACTAGGACAGATTTTGGGAGGAGGGGGGGGGAACTGTGAACTGAAGTATGTAGAAAACTAACTTATATGGATCGAATCCTCAACAACCATAGCAATAACTCAATAGTACACAAAATCAATTGTATAAAAATATTGTTGAGAAGAATGAAAACACAAAAACAGCTATTCATACAACTTCATCAAAAGCTATTTCCATAATCCGTCTTCAACCAAGAAGTCAACCTCGAAAGCCAACAAACGAATCATTCTACCCTATATAACAAACATCTCCAAGATCATGACTATATTATAAGAAGCTTTTGGAATGGCTCCATCGTACGAGTCCTCAAAATCTCTTCATTTTCTATTATGTAAACCAAAAGGTATAATGACAAAGGAAGACAAAGCGAACATTAACGATAAAATAACCTTCAGAAACTGAGAAAAACACTACATTGGACATAGTGGTCACCCTCTTCATACCTGTCTACATGAACATCAACTAGCAGTGGAGCAACATAATATCTCTTCACTCATATTCATGCACATGAATTTGACTGGGAACATGTGAAAATCCTGGTTATAGGAAATACAAACAATGCTAAAGAATTTTTAGAAGCTTGCTATTCAGGTGACTTAGCACTCAACACATATATGTTGACCCAATCAATCAACCAATCAGAAACAAACAAGAAAAATGATCAGAGTTCACATCAGCAGGCCAACCAATCACACACAAGGCCATCGAGACAAGCTATCAAATAAACAAAGGAGAGAATATTTCAAGTTGTTATTCATCGAAGACTGACATCAGTTGAAGGAACAAAGGAAACCTGGGAGCACTGAACAGCCGTTTCGTATGGGACTCCTCAGCAGTGCGCACCCACGACCCCTCCAACTGATGTCAGTCTTCGATGAATAACAACTTGAAATATTTCCAAATCTCTACAACTCCCTCAAAATTTAAGAGGAGAGAATCTTATAACCCAATTCTTCCTAAAGTTTATGCTGCTTATGTTATGAAAATCATCTGAAAAGACTATGAAGAAACTCCTGAATATCCTTAGTTATGAATCAAGTATATCGTCACTGTTTAAACAGCACTTTCGCGTAATAGTTCTCTAACACTTCTTGTAGGATTCAAGGTTAAATCCTACCCTATATATATAACAGTTAAAGGAAATTCAACAATTTTAACTGTTGTAATATTCAAGCCATCGTAGAACAAAGAATAGAATGTCAGTCAAGTCTGTACCCCAACTTCATTGATTTTGAAAAGGCAATCGATAGCGATGACCGAGAATTAATTTGGCAGATGCTGCTTGAACACTATGGTTTTAGTGCCATAAACCTTCATCAACCTCATTCAACAGCGGCTATGTGCTCTATGATGCTACATGCCAAATGATTCACAATGGAAACATCAGTGACGCCTTTGAAGTGAAGTGAAGATAGGAGTAAGACGAGGTTGCCGCCTACTATCATCGGTGATCTTCCTGATAAGAAACGGCTGTGAGGAGCGAGAAGATGGACATACGCTGGAACGGTGAATAGACTCTAGAAGATTTGGATTTCACCAACGATAATGATTTACGTCTAATGTCTTGTCACACAAACTCGAAGATCCACAGACAAATACTAACCAGTTGACAGAAAAGGCGGGGCGAGGTAGCAAAGACGAGGCTTCCTTCAGGTGAACGTAGAGAAGACAGAGGTGATGAAGATACCCAACTAACAACAAGCACCAGTCGCCAACCACCATCAAGGGGAGAAATCTAAAACGAAGTTGTCTTTTTCACCTACCTACTTACGTAGACAGGATCATTTCAACTACAGGCGACATAGGCACAGATGAGGATGTCAAACCAGGATCAGTAAGACAGCAAGATAGGCATTCCTGCATCAATCTGAAATCAGTGTGGAGATCTATTGCACTGCACTACACTGCACTCAGCGTAAAGTGCGAACAAGATCCGGATTCTCAACACTAATGTCAGTCAAGTCAGTGCTTCTCCTTGATGGTTGAGAGAGTCGGCACGTTACGAAAAGCATTTTCAACAAAATACAGACACGCATCGTCAATAGCTGTCGTCTAGGCTCACTCGATACTGACACTGAAGATCAGATGGCCAGAATAATAAGAATAAGCAGCAACAAACTCTGCCTGGCCGGCAACGAAGCAAGAACCTATCGCTTAACAAATATACAGAAGAAGAATGTGGAGATGGGTTGGATTGGATAAAGACTTATAAGACGGTTTGGAGACGCCACGCATCATGCCATCGAGTGGAATCCAAATGGGAAACGATGAGCTGGGCGTCCGAGGCGAGCGTGACATGGAGGAGATGATGTGTGGAATAAATGGAAGCTTGTTGACAGTTGTAGAGGCAGGTTGAAAAGATTAGAGGGAATATTCTGTATTTTTTAAACACAGTTCTATTTGATTTATTTAACATTTTAGAGTTTCAGAAATGACAATCAATGCTAAAAAGGAATTACATGGGATTGTAATCTCTTACTACGTTCGTGTCAGATGTTGGATTGGTATTAGGTAAGTTAAATATGTTGATAATTTCTTGATTGCGACCCTTACTATATCCTTCAAATTTATCCATTTTGTCATTTAGTGCATATATAATAAGAAATGAACACACTATGTATATTTCATTAAATATACTTATTGTCTAGACGTGATGGTCTTGATAGCTAGCACAGTTAAGACTACATAGACACAATGTTCTGAGGTTCTTCAGGCATGTCAAGTGTTTCTCTAGTTCTAGTTGATCTTAGATGAAAACAATTGTCAGAAAAAGTACTATTTAGCGAGAAGGAACTCACTGGAGATACACGCGGTTTATTTATCATTAGGTATGCAGACAAACTTCACGTATTTCAAACTATAATCGAAACTACTTCGAAAGTCGTTTGATGCTTCATAGTATTGAAGAATAGTCTATCCCCATCTTGTGATGTTTCAATGGTTTTCTTCAGAACTGCTCTCCAGAGTACAACCCAGACAACTACAGACATTCATGAACAACTGCCTACACTCTTATGTTACTGAAGATCAAATGGCCAGAAAGAATAAGTAACAAGGAACTCTGGAAACGAACTAACCAAGAACCTATCGCTCAACAAATACGCAGAAGGAAGTGGAGATGGATTGGATTGGGTATGCACTGAGAAGACCATTCGGGAACATCATGCGCCAGGCCAGGCCGCTGAGTGGAACCCAGATGGAAAAGGACGAGTTGGGCATCGGAGGTGAGGGTGACATGGAGGAGATGGTGTGTGAGGAAGAAATGAGGGCTTGTGAGCTGTCATGGAACCAGGTTGAAAAGATTTCAGAGAAGAGAGTGGAGTGGAGACGTGCTACTGAATACCTATGTTCCGTTAGCAACCCAAGGGACAAATAATAATAATAATAGTATAATCACTTCATTAAGCGTTTACGTTTATGCACTTTAACACCAGAAAATGTGAATTTGAGTTTATACCTGATACCCATTGCGCAAGACGATGGTCTCGTGCCCCGGTGGCCTAATTCATGACGCTTTTGCGTTTAAAGTGATGCGTAAAAGGCTCAAGTGTTAGTGGGAACAACATCACTCCACAAGGGTGCAGGTTCACCCACCTGACGAGTCTCCGATGAAACGAAACACACATCATGGATTTCACGAGAATAAAGACTGTCATTATTCTTATACTATTTCATTCAACTTGAGGTAATAACATCTAACTTTAACCTTATAAGGTGTTCATCGTTTTATTTTATTTTTTTTAAACATCAGTCGAGTTTCTCTCTACGTACCATTTTTACTAATGCAACCAGAGAAGGAGTCGGAGCAAATTGATGAAACCAGTTATAAAAAAATTCATAATGTTCACGTTGATGTTATAGATAACCAGGTAAGCTGTAAAACTAACATGACATGTATATTTATAATACATTTATGCAAATACAAAAGTCTTTTGAAACAATACATAGAGTTGAATTCAAGTTATGCTTGTGTATTCAATGAGTTCATGTTATTGCAGTATTGTTTGCTAAGCTGTTATGAGTTTGAATGATACCTTATCTATCGAGGTGTTAACAGTCAGATAGTACAATTAGCTCTCTCACATTAGATGTGGTTCATTGGCTACTACAAAAGGAGGCAAAGGTTGACGAGTGCATTCTGATTCGATTCAAGTATTATGTCCACGATGATTCCAATATTATACAAGCTCGACTGATCATTCATGAAGCCAACTTTTACAAATACAACTCATGAAAATCAATGCATCCAATTAAGTAACCTGATTATTACTGACTTCATAATTGTATTATTTATTATTATGACTTATTGTTTTTCCCTTGGGTTCCTAGCGGAACATAGGGGTTCACTAGCACGCCTCCATTCCACTCTCTTCTCTGCAGTCTTTTGAACCTGGCATCACAACTGCCCACAAGCTTTCATTTCTTCCTCATATGATCTCCTCCATGTCAACTCATCTTTTCACGTCCGGGTTTTACTCAAGTACCTGGTGCGTGATATCCGTGAATGGTCTTCTCAGTATACGCCCAATCCATCTCCACTCTCTTCTGCATATTTTTTGGGCGATAGGTTCTTGATTGGTTCATTGCCAGAGTTCCTTGTTGCTTATTCACATTATTCTAGTCATCTGATCTCCATCTTCAGTATCAAGTGAGCTTAGATGGCAGCTTTAGATCTCTACGCTGATTTCAGGTTAGTGAAAGCCTGTCTTGCTGTCTTTCTGATCCTGATTTTGACATCCTCATCTGTGCCTGCGCCCCCACCGTAGTTGAAACGATTCTGCCTTGCCTAGGTAGGTGTAGGTGAAAGACACTACTTCCTTCATGTTTCTCCGGTAGATGATGATTGGTGTTTGTTGTTGATTCTGTTGTTGGTTGTGTATCTTCATCACCTCTGTCTTCTCTACGTTCACCTGAAGGAAGCCTCGTCTTTGCTGCCTCGCCCCGCCTTTTCTGTCAACTGGTTAGTATTTGTCTGTAGATCTTCGAGTTTGTATGACAAGACATTAGACATAAATCATCGTTGGTGAAATCCAAATCTTCTAGGCTCTTTTCATCGGTGAAACAGCATATGCCACTCTCCTCACTCCTCACGATTTGCTGCATGATCCAGTCCATCACAATCAGGAACATAAACTTTACACTGTGAAGATATCTTGCTCATTATATGAATCCCAGAAATGGATACAGTGCTGCTAAAATGCTATCACATTGTTTCACTCAGTTCTTTTTCATTAGTTCATAATTATCAAGTGCTTATCTTGTTCACCTAGAATATGTCAACCATATTCAATAAAGCTTACTTCAAATGAATCTAAAAAGAGTAGACTTAATCATTTGTGAATTTATTTGTATTTCTTTCGGATGTATTGCATCACCATATGATGCATAATATTAAACTGTGAATTTGGATTACGTAACTGTATATACTTCTAAGTTGTAGAAATGATGGTTCAATAAAACGGTCGATCTACAGGAAACCTACTTGAACAGGTCAGTATTTAAGTTTTCATAGCTTTTGTCCAACCCAATACAAGCGAGGTTTGATAGCTTGCCTATTTCAAAGGATCCAGCGTATTTGTACGGAAGACTCAATGGATGATAATGATATAAAAATACTAATAGGAACATTAGTGGAAAATGGATATCCATTAAAGTTAATAAACTGCTGCTGTACTCTGTTTCGAAGAAATGAGTTCAGGTCACGTTACCATACAGAAGAGAATCTAACAGCATAATATTAAAACGAAGGTTAAGGTCTACTGTTAGCAAAACGTACTATGCAGCTAAGCTCACCGTGGTTGAGAAGACCAAAAACCTGCTACAACCTAGATCTCAATGCTGTATAAACGATTGTGTCATATCCCACTGCGTTTATACATTTACAGGTGTGTGTGTGTGGACAAACATATATAGAGAGGACTAATCGTGATACGCACTAGAGTGTAGGAGGGAACATGTCCCAAAATGGCTATAAAAGCAGCTGGATTCACAAACATTGATAAGTGCAGATGGCAGACAACCTTCATCCGCATCCATCACAAAACATATCATTGATAAGGGTCACAGGATCGATATCAAAAAGCCTTTACAGTTTTGTATAGAAACTATGATGGGCGTGTACTTAGATGTATTGAAGCGCTATCCTTAAAAAATTTAACTCCTCATTATGTGTGCAAAAGCAGTTTATCCTTACGCTAAGGCTACCTTGGTAATGATTACTTTATACTGGGAATGAAATTTGAACCGCGGCCGGAATCGAACCGCCGGGTTTCAGGCCCGATACTCTATCAACTGAGCTATGAGGTCCGATTGCTGAACAGATTTTTATTTGGCTTCAATCACCAAAGGTTTCGCCCGACTACCATGTAAATTCGTGACGCGTTACTACTGCTTGATCGTATTCACACTGGCTACCTAGTTAGGACTTCTCATCCCAATCAAAATCTAACTAAATCACAGGGTGAGGAGCATCATATTGATTATCATTTGACTATCCAAGATAGCAGCCGTGATTTGATAGACCTGCAGTATTGATATTGGGCGATAAATGAAGGTCAGTAGTTGGACCTCGCAGCTCAACTGGTAGAGCATCGAGCCGGTAACCTGGTAGTCGCTGGTTTGAATCCGACCGCTGTCCAAATATTCATTTCACCTTCAACCATCATCCAGTATAAATACCGTGAGTCTGCTAAACCATGGCAATCTTAGATAGTCACAATGATAATCCCTATTTTATCGTATTACCAAGGTTGTCTTGAGATCTTATCTTTTTTCCTCTCATCATCTTTCTTATTATTGAATTCCTTTATGTCATATTTGTCCTTCTCCCACTTCCAGTTTTCATATATAATGCCTTAATGAGTAAATGTGTGGGGGATCAGATTGTTCGAAATGTATAGCGCTAATACATCCCATTTTTCAGACAGTTTTACATTATCTTAATTCATGAAAGGGAGTAATTGTTTCAAATTAAACTATGAGTTATCTTGCAGTCAGCTAAACGCTTGACTAACTCAACTTACATGAAATTACCTATCAATTAGTGGCTAACGCAGTTTATTGAGGAAGTATGTTTCCGTTGATTGAAAAACAACCAGTTTCATATTGTTCTGCTCCTGAGTGCTGACCAGCGAAATCTCTGCACAGATACAAAAGCCTCGGTTGGTTTTTGCCAACTTACACCATTTGTGGTGACGCTGCGATATACGATTGTCCATTAAGGGTCAAGTGTACTGAGTTGCAGCCCTCTCCGTTCTACTGTCTAGCTGTGAAACATAGCCATTAAAGGTAGAAGACACGAGTAGGCTTTAGGTGTTTGACCACCGTTGCTTTTTAGCGTAGGCCGTGTTTCCTGATGTCATCACTCGAGTAAAGCAGAAGTCGGGTGTAGAGTTTTAGGGAGGTGAGGTAAGACAGTTTACTTGGTTGTGAAACTTCATCATCTGAGAGGGATGAGTCATGTATTTATTATGCCTACCCACCGTCTGCCTTCTCAAACAATGTTGGCCGAAGTAGGTTCAAACTTGAAAAAGTCTCACGTCGGTGAGATTAAAACATGATATAAATGCATGAAGTCTGTGACCGTTCGTTTGAGCCATTTATGGCAATGCGGACTAGCCTGTCGGGGTCCGTAGGACAAGCGAAGCCAGTGGTTGGAGATTTTAGGTGATATGGCTCAGAACCGATGTCATCTTAAACACCATACTTATTCACATCATTTTATCACTCCTCCCTCCTCTCTTCTACTACCTTTAATTCCTTTTGACCGATTTTTCTTTCCTTTTTTTGTCTTCCTTTTCATTGCCTTGTTACTTCATATACTGATATGAGATGTAGTAATTTGGACGGTCATGACTTACATCGATCACCATACAATGTGACTAACAAGCTGCGAAAACTTGCCATAGTAGCCGACTTTTGTAGGCTATTGGTAATACTGTGTGAAATGAGTTCAGACAGCAGAGGGGATATGAGTTAGTTTGAGGTTGCAAATACACCTTGCTGAAGAATGCCAACAAGCCTGAAACCTAAGTGAAACACAGCCTGAATTTAGACTCTGTACCTCTCTTCACTCGTCACCCGGATTTATCTGCAAACATGAGGAACATGGTTTTGATTTAATGCTTCAAACCTGTGTAACTCAGCACAGAAGTCACATGATTGAACACTAAACTGTTGAAAGATTTTCATTAGCGCTAAGTACGAATGATTAGATCGTTACATCTACTACCATTTTTGTGATTAATTTGTGTACATCATCCAAGCCTATAGAGTTTTAGTCGTTACCTGAATTGCTTTTTGGTTTAGTCTCTGACTTCAACACTATGTGATGTAGGTTCGAATCACCTAACAGATACCAGTTTCTTCATGGAAGCAGATGCGTCTTGCTGATGAGCGCCAGCAAGCAAGAAGCTTCCTACCGATTGCCTCTCACTACATAACACATAAATAATGAGTGTTCTGGAATAAATAAACCCAATAACTGAAATTTTATTACATTTTACTGTTTATAATATGGATATATGGGATATCCTGTCATCTCCTAACCTCAGTGAAAGTTGAAATTCAAGAACAAACTTTGATGTATATTACATGTTGATAGACTGTGATGGTTTTTTGATGGTTTAAGATAATTTTAGTATACTTCCTATTTGATTCCATTTTTTTCTTTGCAGCAGCCAGAAGTCTAATCAAAATGGAACGATAGATAAGTTGAATACCGATATCATCAAAGACTTCCTTCCTTGATTCACATTCGCTTTTTCTTCAACCACCTTAGTTTCATTTTGATTCCTGTTTTATTTTACTTCAGACCACAGCTTCACCTTTCATCAGTCAATTTCCTAATTGAGTATAAGTGGTCCATAATGTCTATTGTATAACTTTATCACAGTTTTTGAATTTGTTTATTTTAGAGTTGAGAGTGAAGAACAGTTAATCTGGAATCTTAGTTATCATCTTGGTATAAATTGGAATTAAAATATCCTGAATCTGAGTAAAATAACCATACCAGTGATATCTGCTAAGCTTTTCGAATTACAGTAGTAGGTGAAATATTCACTTCTATTACTTAATTAAAGGAATATTATTAAATGTCTTACTTACAAAGAGGTCGACAACTGGCTAAAGCCTAGACTTTGTATTCAATAAGGTTTTATGAACACTGGTTATCTATTTTACCCATGATAATCCTATGATTTTGTCAATTTATATTCATATTCACTTTGTATATCTCATTTTGTTCATCCTTATTATTATTATCATTATTATTACTATTAGTGTTATTGCATATCCTGGATTCCACTGCCCATCATTACTATACACTATTATTATCATTGTTATTTGAAACAGTTAGTCCCTTTTATGAATTTCGATAGTGTAATTAGAAGATGAAGTTTATCTGAACAATGTATGCGATGTATTTGCACAGTACAACATTTCGAACAATCTGATACCCAACACATTTACTTGTCAAGTCAATTTATATTAAAGCGAGGACTGGGAGGGGGGATAAATACAACAATTAACACAATAGGGGATTAAAATTAAGAAAGATGAGAACAAACAGGACAAAGAGTGACATAGTTGATCCTAATATTGGTAAGAAAACAAAGTTTACCAAGCAACGTAGGTGTAGTGTACACGGACAAACTGTTTTTGTACACATAAAGGTGGTTTAAATTTGTGTATGGCTTCCACAAATCTCATAATACATCCTTGACTATTTCTACATAAAACTTAAAAAGCTGTTTAAACATTAACTTTGTGACCTGTTTCTGTGATATGCTTAGCTATAGATGAAGAGGGTTGTCTCTCGCCAGTGTTTATCACTGTTTCACACTCCATTTGGTTTTGAAGTCATTTAGGCACATGTTCTCCCATCCTCAACTGCATAATCGATTACTCCTCTAAATGTATGTGTGACCACACACATACGTGTAAATTGGTGGACACAATGCGATGTGACGTAATCACTGATGCAGTGTTTAGATTTTTTGGTGAAGCATGTGTTTTGTTTTCTCTACAATGGTAAGATTCGCCGATTGACATGTGTGTGTGGTCACACATACATAGGGAGGTGTAATCGATTATGCAGTTGAGGGTGGGTGCCTAAATGACTTCAAAACCAAATGGAGTGTGAAACAGTGATAAACACTGGCGAGAGACAACCCTCTTCATCTATAGCTAAGCATATCATAGAAACAGGTCACAAAGTTAGTGTTTAAACAGCTTTCAAAGTTTAATGTAGAAACAGTCAAGGACGTATTATGAGATTTGTGGAAGCCATACACAAATTTAAACCACCTTTATGTGTACAAAAACAGTTTGTCCGTGTACACTACACCTACGTTGCTTGGTAAACTTTGTTTTCTTACCAATATTAGGATCAACTATGTCACTCTTTGTCCTGTTTGTTCTCATTTTTCTTAATTTTAATCCCCTATACTGTTAATTGTTGTATTTATCCCCCCCTCCCAGTCCTCGCTTTAATATATATTGACTTGACAAGTAAATGTGTTGGGTATCAGATTGTTCGAAATGTTGTACTGTGTAAATACATCGCATACATTGTTCAGGTAAGCTTCGTCAGTCTAATTACGCTGTCATTATAATTAGCATCTTAGTTACCTTTTGACACCAATTGACTCATATTTCACTTCATCAGATCAATTCTCCCTACCAATACCAATTGTATCATGTTTACGTAAACTTCGCAGCGGTTTCCTACTGTCATTTAGTTTTTTTTCTTCAATGGTTACAAATCCAACTGTACAGTTTAATAATAAAGTTATTAGAAGAAACAGATTACTTCTGATAAAATATTGGCTTGCTTGTATATTTATAAATAATTTTCGGATCAAATTTTGTATATTCTCTGTTTATTGAATGCATGAAATTATTTACAGCTCTTTCAATTATGTATAAACTTATTCATCTACATGATTGTTTAAATTTTCATTTGGATTTGGGGGTTTTTTTTAAGGGATTTTAGTGATTGGGATTCATTATCGAGTGATATCACAATTGGAGGAAAATTGAAAACCTTAGACTACTGAATAGTTATTTCATCCTAGTATAGCGAAGTTTCCAGTATGCACTACTGAGGATTCCTATACTTCGGTGAAATATGCATACAATCAATATGAACACTTAAGGCTAAAATACAGTCCTGTTTACAATTATCTGTGTCTTTTTATTAAGTTAAATATGTATTAGGAATATATTTTCAATAGCTTCTCATATAATTCAACAGTTATAAAATCATTGTATAGAATGTATTTTTACTTGTGTAATCCCGGCGTTGTTGTGCATTATTCCTCAACGTTTCGATCTTGCTAGGAAGATCTTTTTCTTTAGGAGTATGAATGTGAGACATTAAGTTTTCAGGTTAATATTCAAGTTTTGGTACAGAAAGTGGTTACGCTTACAATCATCCAATTACATAGTGATATGGAGCAAAGATCTATGTAAAACAGGTGAGTGAATAAGCAACTCGATCAGAGAGGTTTCTCTGTTGTGCGAGTAAGTTGGAACAAAAATAGGGTGGGGAAATTTTGTTATCACTCATACTTCGAGTGTTATCAAAAGTACATTTATGGTTATCAATATTATTAATACTATTATTGTTTATTTAAGATATATTGTCTCATCTTCAAATATTCATTCTTCCAAACTAGTAATCTATTCTTCCTCACCCTTGATGTCTCACAACCCCATTGTACTTTTCATAGACGAACTCAAAAATTTCCCCACCCTATTTTTGTTCCACCTTACTCGCACAACAGAGAAACCTCTCTGATCGAGTTGCTTATTCACTCACCTGTATTACATCGATCTTTGTTCCATATCACTATGTAATTGGATGATTGTAAAGGTCATCACTTTCTGTACCTGAAAACTTAATGTCTCACATTCATACTCTAGCAAAGGATCTTCCTAGCAAGATCGAAACGTTGAGGAATAATGCACAACATATTTGTTGAAATATACTACACTGGGATTATACAAGTAAAAATACATCCTATACAATGAATCATACTAACTCGGTGCCCAAGTTTTTTCAAACTATCCAGTCCATTGTTGGTCAGGTACCTTCAAAGTTATAATATCATATTTATGAACATAGCCAAATTATGGGATGAATGCGTATTACAGATTAGATTGATTTCATTCTATCAAGGATAGTGTAATAAGGTAAATGATTGCTGACTAATCATATTTAATGTATACAACATGTGGGAAGAAAATCATTAATAAATTTCAGGGTTGTACTACTTTGGATGAGTGATTTATATACAGAATGAAATCATTTTACCAGAAGGATAGAAATGGAATGGATATCTCATCTTAAAATGAATAATATACGAAATAACTGAGGTTGTATAGTAATAATAATAATAATATGGTTGATAAATGAATTGTGCAGAAATTAAACATGTAAGCCAGTCCTACAGGAGGTCAATCGTGGTCCGAATAGCTCAGTAGTAAAGCCGCTGACTACAAGACTGGGTGATGCGGGTTCAAATCTGAGGTGGGACATCAATTCTGTCCATGTTGTTGAAGTGGAGGTGGATTGAATCGGCATACACTGAGAAGGCCGACTGGGGACATCACGCGTCAGGCCAGTTGCTCGAGTGGAACGCAGATGGGAAGCGACGAGTTGGACGTCCAAGGGTGACATGGAGGAGATCATGTGAGGAAGAAATGAAAGCTTGTGGGCAGTCGTGGAACAAGGTTGAAAAGATTGCAGAGAAGAGAGTGGAATGAAGAAATGCTACTGAAGCCCTATGTTCCATTAGGAACCCAAGGGACTAATAAATAATAATAATAATAACAGCTATGCATACGATTACACACAACCATACAATAGGAAGGGAGGGGGCGAAAATCCTTAAAACTAACATAGTAGGGTGGAGTGAGAGATTGAAAACTGAATCTTCGCTTATTGAATCAATTCCTAATAAATGCACGAAGTATGACTCAGCAACTGAAGTTTTGGTCTGGACATGGGTTGACTAATAAATAATAAGTATAGACGTCTTGAGTAAAGTATTTTAGGTAGACATTGTGACCAAATCTAACTCCGAGTGTTTCCTTTGAAATCCATAAGTAGAAAGGAAGTTTTTTCTACACTGTCATTAGTTCATGCTTGTGAGTATTGTGACAGATACTTGCTTTTATAAATTTCTTACGATATCTTGAAGGTCATCTAATTCCTTCTCAATACACTCATCAGAGCAGACTGATCTTACTCTGAATGCTAAACATCTAATCACACTTCGTTTGCACTTCATATGATAGAAGGCTGAGTTAGTCTACAAATTGGGCTTTAGTTGTCTTCCTATATACACTTCGTTTTAAAGAAATATATTTTCTTGTCAGTAGAATATCAAGGAAATGAAGGGTTGTTTCTTTAGCATAAGTGCAGAAAATGAACTTCCAGATGAGTGCTACTGAAGTCGTTGAGGATCGAATCACCAAACTAAAAATGTATCATTACTGTAGTGATGATGAAAATCTATGCTGAAAACGTTGCTCTTCAACAGTCAGTTTTGTAATTTGACAAAAAATGTCAACAAATATAATACCTAATAAGCATCGTATGGCTACGCTGCCGATTTTAATTTACGTTCTATGACTGGACAAGACTTGAATATTCACTGTTCACTTCAGCAGTAATTCCTTTGAA